TCCTTGTTTTCGTAACACGCATACGCCATGTTGGCATGACTCATTTGACCCTCAGCGAGCAGGCGGCGGGATTTGGCGTTCAGGGCGGTTGGTTATTGTTGTTGTCGCTATTGCAAAACTACCCCCGTCTATATATATATATAATTTTATTTTATTGTTTTAGCTGTCACAACGCCGAGTCAGGCTCTGTGTTGCTTTTAAGTATACGTCAGCAGCCACTTCCTGCGAAGCTCCTAACCCCCCACCCCCCTTACCCCACTCTGCATACCCCTCTGTGTTATACAAGCACTCAATTGAGTATTTATAGTAGTTGGTTAGGAGCAGCCACCTTACATAATTGATTAAACCGAACGTAATTCGATATCCAGTCACGAGGCAAGCGACTTCAATAAGGGCTCTTAACTTGTCTAAAAAAAATATAACTAGGGGTTAAAGTAAACAACTTATTGCTAATTTAACAGCGAATTTGACAGACTGGTAAAGCAATATGCAGTATCAAAGAATTGCAACCATTATTTTTTCTACTTTTAAGTTTTAATTGGCGAAAAAATAGTTGGAGCTGGCAAAAATATATTTAACTGCCAGCTAAACTGCCTGGTAAATAATAAATAACAGCTCAGTTGTGTAAAATATGAACAACACATGTGACGATAAGTTCAAGTAGGCGTCGAGTATAAAAATCAGCCAATTTAAGCAGCAAACTTTTTTTTAACTTTTTCGTATGCCTAAAGGGCAGGCAGATGAGCTAAAAGGCACTTGAAAATAACGCAACACATTTGACATCATGACCAAGTAATTTGTCAAACTTAAAAGGCAGCCTATTTACAATCGAAATGATATAGACTTGTTGCATATTCATGAGGCTAAACTGCCTGTTAAATGTGCACCGGCAGATTTGCTAGGGGAAAGGGAGAAAACTCTAGATAAAACATCATGACAAGAGTAATTGTCAGGTTTGTTCGGCAGCCTTCTGACATCACAGAACCCGCAGAAGCATGGCATATTTATGGAGATAAACTGCTTGGTAAATGTTAACATGCGGATAAACTAGAAGAACATGTAAGACAAGCAAAACATTTGACAACCAGCCAAAAGTATTTGTCCGACACAGAATTCAGCGAGTTGTTGCATATTTATGGAGACTGGCTGTCAAAATTAATGGCCCACACATCATGCGATAGCCAGAAATGGCAGCTCGTATTTACGGCGCTTCTTGCAAGCGATTTGGCCAAAACGGGTTTCGGCTTTTTGGGAGCCTCTGCTGCGAACAAGCGCTGAGCTGCAGGCAGGATTTGGCGACAGGACATTGAACTTAGGCGCAAAGTAGGTCGCCAGCTGGAAGCCAGCTGCACAACTAACCGTTCCAGCTTCAGTTCCAGCTCCAGTTCCAGTTCCAGCTGCTGTCAATTGCATCAGCGACAATTGCAGGCAAGGAAAATTGAAGAAAATGAAAAGAAATTGCAATCAAAGAAAATAAAAGCTGATTATGTCAACATGGAAAAAACAAACCCGGTTTAGGGGCGCGCTGCAAGGAGGGGAAATGCTGGGCGCGTTTGTCAAATGCAAATCGCTGGCAAACCGGAAAGCGGATCCACAACTGTTAACCAACTGACGGGTCAGGCCATATGCGGACAGCGGACAGCGGACAGCGGACAGCGGACATGGCACATATGGCCAGCCTTTAAGTGGCACACAAATGCGGTCGTTTTAATGTCACCGCCGCATGAAACAACAACAACAACAACAATAACAGCAATAACAACAAACGAGAGCCGTACACTTGGTTATAATGGGTCTATAAAAGCGCTGGGGACAGCAAATTTGGTATGCGGCTACTCATATATATATTATATGCAGCTCAGGTTTAATCCAAAGTGCCGCAAATCAATACAAAAAAAAAAAAACGCATCAGCACGCCGAAGAGTAAATACCCTTTGCAGTCAAATAGCTTAAGGGCTTGCAGATATACTAAAAGACATGTAAGGCTAAGATAGATATTATATCTTTAATATAATAACTCGATCTTTGGCCGATACTGCCTGTGGGGCTATACGATGTTTTGATCCGATTTTAAGCAGATTTTGCCTTTATGTGTGAGGTGCATAATGGCACCAATAAATGTCCAGATTGGTCCAGATATGTCTTGAGAGACAAAGAAGCTTTTCATATATTCAGCTATATGATATAGTGAACCGATCCGAGCAATTCCTGAGACGCTAGCTTGCGTAGAACAGGTAGACATACAGCCTGGCATGGCTATATAACAGTTCGTGGAAGTCTCCTGCTGTGCGTAACACATGTTATAACAGTAAGAACATTGCATTTGCATATGTATAACGGTTCGTCGAAATCTCCTGCTGTGCATTACACATTTTATAATAACAATAGCCAAGAACATTGGTTTTGTATGTAACCAATACAAAAAGAACACTCGAACAATCTGCCAAGAAATGCATTTCCCAAGATGTTTTCTATGCCATTCTATTCGCTCAGTGTAGTCTTAGTTACTGTTGTTTTTGTTGCTGTGGCTATTGCGACGAAAAAAATGCCGCAAAAGTTTGCCGGTTTGCAAATGTTGCAGTTGCCGTTGTAGTTGTTGTCACTGTTGTTGTTTTTGTAAAATAAACAGCAACAACATAAGAACATGTAAAACTGCTACAGCGCTGCGAGGCAGAAGAAGAAGAACCTTTCTACGCAGCAAATCATGTCACACACGCAGATGGGGCTGCTGCACACACACACACACACGTGCACGCAAACACAAACGCACCTACACAATGCTCGACCTTCGTTCAAAATGAGAGCGTGCGAGAGCGAGAGAAAGAGAGAATATTTTTAGTAATGTGTAACGTAAATATTGACAAAGTGCTGCCTGAAGCGACAGACTCGTATTTGACGCGCAGGTAAACAAGAACAAAAACAAAAGAAATAAAGCGTTGACAAACACAGTTATGTAGATGACGGCAGCATCAACCAGCAACCAGCAACCAGCGGTGCATTTCGATGCATCAGCGACAGCAGTGCGTAACGATGTGAGCAAGACAGCCCAAGCCGCTAAGCAAAGCAATTAAAGCAGTGCATCATCATGCACGTAGCGAATGCCCGAGCGAGCGCGAGGGTAAAGGGTGTTAAGTGCTCGCTCTCAACGTCAATGTTAACCTGGCGTGGGAAGCTGATAAAAGCAAGCAAGCAAAAAGAGAGAGGAAGTGAGAGCGAGAGCGTGCAAGGCACACATTCGGATGTTGCCATACAGTACGAAAACAACAAAAAAAAAAACAGTTTTGAGTGTGAGTGTGAACGTTGAGTATGAGTGCGAATTTTTAGCCGCACTTTCATGAATAGCCCAATTCAAGTACTCATGAAAATTGTTATAGAGTGCATCTTTTGGCACGGCAAATGAAAGTGCTTAAGCGAACGTTTGCTTAATTGCAACTATATTTGCATTCAGATTTGCGTGTATCATTAAACTCATAATTCAGCCTCGCTGCACATTATGCATCAATTTCAGTCATGAATATGCCATGTAGATTTATGAATACAATTTGAATATGTGCATTTGGAATAATTGTTTACGACACATGCACAGCCGGGCAGAGAGCGGCAGAGAGAGGTTCGTTAAGTTGCGAGCGATTATCAAATTTATTGACTGATGTCAGCGCGAACAGCAACAACAACAACAGAACAGACATAATATAAATTTTGCTTTATTTGCGCACAGTGGCAACGCTCTCACTCTCCTTCTGTCTCTCGCCTTCTCACCCACTCACTCAAGCTCTCTGCACTTCCTGCTCTCCAAGGCAAAGTTTAACTCTCGACTTTCCAGGCAAATGCACTTTCAAGTGCTTTTATCAGCGGTCAACGCCGCTGCCGCTGCCAGCGCCGATGCTCATTGTTGCTGCTTGTTGCTATGATTTATAATCTACGCAATGGGAAACGCAGCCAATTCCAGCTTTTGAATTGCTTTGCTTGACAGCGCTGATTGCGACTTCCCGCCTACCGCCCATTGCGTACAGAGAGACAATTGGGCCACTGTTTATCATTGAGTTGATTATTTTTGACGGGAGGTGGTTGTTTTTTTTAGGATGCGCTTCCGCGAGACGCTGAGACGCCTGGTCAAGGGTTGCCTTTCAATTGGGATGCAGCATGCTTCAGATGCAGCAATCGTCTCAGCGGCAGCCGTCATCTTTTATCGATCCAACAATGTGCCATCCCCCACCCCCGTCGCTTCCACCCGCCTGGCAGCGACAGGATTACGTCGTTATGTGGCGCCAGGGTTGGTTGGGTTGGTTGGGTCTGACGGGCGCGGCGGTGCGGGGGGCGGGCGGCGAGCGGCTGGTGGTTGAGTCTCAGGGTGGCTTAGCTGGCGCATGCGCCGTAAAAAGCATCGCGCAATGCATTTTATGTAACTTTTATAAAAAACTGGTTCACAATTGAACCGTTCCAGAGAGCGTGGCAGATGCACCTTAAGTTTTGGTAAGCTGAGCTTAAAGCTTTCAAAGCTGCTCTTAAGGGTTTAGGATAACTGTAAGTTGTGCGCAGTACGCAGCTTAAGCCAAGCTTCCAGTCGCAGACAGATCTCGCAAATTATAAGGCTCAAGGAAAGTCTAAGATGAACCAATAGGTGCTAGCAAAAAGAAGCCAGAGAGTCGGAGTAAAAGTTGTTAGATCAAGTGGAAAACCGAATGCCTTTGGTATAAAAGTCACAAGCTAAGCTTCAAGCTCGTCAAAATAAGTTCCAGGCCCTTAAAAAGCTTCGTTGCCAGTTGCAAGCTCCACGAAAAGCTCGATAAACACAAACCTAGCGAGTCAGAGCTGAGCTCAAAGCTTTTGAAAGCTTCTCTTCCAGCCGATAAAGGAGCTAAAAGTGCAGTTAAAACCGCTGCAAAGTCGTAATTGAGCACAAAGCTTTGAAGTCCTCTCTTGAGCCAAGCTTAAAGCTTGGCGAAAGTCTCAGCTTGAAGCGGCTTGAACAAAGCGTTTGAATAGATTCGCATACTCACTGGCATTCATTCATGATCTCCTCCTGGCTGCGCACCTGAACCGGTGCCAGCTCCTCGACGTTCTCCTCGTAGTTGCCGAAGCATTTGGTTATTTTCTCATCGAACGTATTGACCAAATCCTCCAGACTGCCGCCGAAAGTCTCCGTAAAGTTGTCCACATTGTCAGCGCCGCGTTTATCCTGGCCACCGGACGACATATCGGCCAGGCCCAATTCCCCAAGATTGTGCGTATTGCAATTGGGGCTTATGTTGCCGGCGGCACCGGCACCGGCACCAGCACCGGCACCGGCGCCACATCCACCTCCACCTCCTCCGCCTCCGCCATTTTTGCTGATGTGCGCATCGCGCACCGCATCCTCGAGCAGACGCAGCTTGTCCTGCTGCTGTTGCTTGGCGTTGCCATCCTTTTGATTCCGATTGGAGCTCAAGTTCAAATTGAGCGTATCGTTGAGCGCATTCTGATTGGAAATAAAATCGCAGCCACCCCACTCGTCCGTCTCCTCGAACTTCGCCAATGGAGCCTCAAATTTTAGCTCGGCCATTTTGGTGCCGAGGTCACGCATGGCACGCGGCACACGCAGTTGGGGAGGGGGGGGCGGTGCTGGGCGGTTTGTGCGGTCTTCACACAGGGGGGCTTAGATATTGGTGGCTGGCAAAGATATTGCGAGCGATTTCAAATTAAAAGCAGGCTCTGTCGGACTGCGGTTTGTTTTTGTTATGGGCTACTTTTAAGAGACACAATCACACTCGCACACGCACACACACACACACAGGCGCACCTGTGTTGGAAAAATTCGCAACCCCTATTTAATGGCAACGCAAACGCACTTGTGTCACCCACCGTGCTGTTCGGTTGAGTGTTTGTATATTTTGATAGCAAATCTTGCTATTTTTTTTTTTGCCTTAACACTGCTGTCTGGTCACAATAAACAAAAACAACTGTTAAAAAAAGACTGTCGTGCGTTGAACACTGTTTCTATTAGCTTAATAAAATTGAATAACGAACGTTGATGGCTGTTATTGTTGTTGTGCACGCAAACGCAAACGCAAATAAAATAAACACAGCAGAGTCGACGAAACGCGCAACACGACGGTAGCGACGAGACCAAAACACAACGAAGATTTCTTGCGACTGCACAGCAGCAGTGTGACCGCATGCGATAAGCAGCAAAATGCGCACGTTTATCGAAAAACGCTGAATACTGCACATTATTATAACAAATTCAAAATAGCAGCCACGGTCATTCCGCGTGATATATTTATTAATTCTCGCGTAAAAACAATGTATGCATCAAAGACAATGCGTTATTTTGCACTTTAGAACCTAAATTCTTGTCAGTCAACAAAGCTGTTGTCATCGATATGATATGGCGCATTTAACAATCGATAGCTATTCAAACACTTTGCAGCACTACTAGGCTGAGCGGGCTTATTTAAATGCTGCTAATGTGATTTTGCTAATTGGAATAATACACAACACAATTCCCGCTTTTCAATACCAATTCCCAAGAACAACATTTGTTTATACTCAGTTTTATTACAATATAAATTAATATTTATATTAAATAATACATTTATTAGATTCAGAGTCCTAACATTTTGTTTTGTTTTGTTTTTTTTTTAATTTTCCTTTTGTTTATACTGCGTAATATCGAAGCACTCTGCCCAGCGGCAATATTTGTTTTATTGTAATTCTGTTGTTTCATTGTTTTAAACATTGTTTTACTTTTTAATTAGCATTTGGGTCAAAAAAATAGGGTTAGTTTTTTTAATATATATATATATAGTAAGTAGGCCGCTTGTCTAGCCCATTTTCTGTGGGTTATCTTTTAGTGCTCTTGAGAAATGCATTTAATAACAGAACTTTAAAACATTTGGGAATTTCGGTTAAATATCTTAAGAGAAGCACATGCATACGCATGTGTGTGTGTGTATAGATATGCAAATACATACGCACACACTCACACACTCACACACACGCACACATACGTGTGCATTAAGGCTAAGCTACATTTTCTTTCAGTTTTCTTTTAGTTTTTATAATTTGCTTAAAAGCAGACTTTCTTTTGGGTGTGTGTGTGTGTGTGTGTGCGTGTAGGTGTGTGTTCAGTGTCTTTTATGTCTTTGTTAGATAAGCATTAAATATAAAATAAATATTAGTACATAATTTAAACGCTAACAAGAAATGCAAAAAACATTATCTCCAATCTCACAACTGCACTTAAAGTTGATTTTCCTTCTTTCAATGCTTGCTAAAAATGAATTATAGATTTATATATATATATATGTATATGTAGAAAATAAAACGAGAAAAGTTCGACTGGAAAATGGCGTCTAAATTCTTCTTGAATCAACAACTAAATTAAGCCAAAACAAAAAAAAATTATTATAATAGTATAATAGTAGTCAGTTAATCGAAAGTATTGTTTAAAAAAAAAATTGATATTGATATTTTTATGTTTATGTTTAATGAGTAACAAATATATATAGCAATACGTAAATTGGTTTTGGTGCGGGTATTATTTTTAATAAATTAATACAAATTAAATACAGTTTTTGTGGCCCTTTTTTGTTTTTGTTGTTTTTTGTTTTTAAATAAATACAATGTGTAATTATCAAATAGTTGTAAATTGTAATCAGACAGCAAGAAATTGAATGGAATCTCATATTATGTTAAAAATATGTTTAGTATTATTATTATGTATATATTATTATTATATGTATAAAAATAAATGTCTTTTTCTTTTGACACGAACAAAAAACGCATTTTTTAGGCATATTTGCTGAATTCTGTTGTTCTTTAACGCCAATATTATATAAACTGTGCATATATATATATATATATGTATGCAACATTTGTTGTTCTTTTGTAATTGTTTTTAAATTGTTTCTATTGCTACATTTTTATTGTTGCTTTCAATTTCTATGCGCGTGTGTGTATGAGAAAGAGAGAGAGAGACAGAGAGAGAGAGAGTGTGAACGAGTTAACAGTTAAATGGATTTGCGTGTGCAGCGGCCTGTCCTTGTTCGCTGCAGCGGCGTTCAGTGTTGCGAAATGCGTGAAGTCTTTTTCGGTTTTTTTCTTTTTCAAATAATGGGAACAATGACAAATTCGATATTACTGGGAACACTTTAAAAATTCTTCGTTTTTCTTTTGTTGTTTTATTGATGTGCAGTTGAAAAAAAATGCCCCAAAATAAAAATTTTAAAAATTTCTAAAAAAAAAAACAAACAAGAGAATGTTTTGACAGTGTGCGCGGGGGGGGGGGGGGGGGTGTATATATGTATGTGTGTGTGTGTGTGTGTTTGGTTTATCTAAAAATCAACTACATATGCCAGCCAGCGTATTTATGACAAAAGATTTGGGATATATGAATATTCAGTTGATAAGAAACGGAACAAGCGCAAAAAAATAATGCAAAAATACTAAAAAGCTGGCATAGTGGTTGGGTGTTGTTGTTGTTGTTGTTGCTGTTGCTGATACTGTTGTTGTTGCTGTTGCTGTTGCTGTTGTTATTGTTTGTTTGTTTGTTAACGCTTATTAGTGGGCTTAAAGTTGCAGGACAACATCTCCTCCTTGGCCAATTTGGTGCGATATTCGGCCATCATATCACGGCATTGTATGGCAATATCTAACAGCGTGGAGAACATTGTCTCGCCGCGCTTACAATACGCATCCTGATCATAATCCACATAATTGGTTAAATCATATAGGGCCTTCGAGTCGGCTAGGAAATTCTCCAGAGTTGCGTTCACGCTGCGATGAAATTCAACGACCATTTCCTCGGTCTGTTGCAGATCATCGATAGCCTGATGTTGTACAATTAGCTCGTCCGACATTTCGTGTTCCTGCAAGATCGATATATAACCGATAAATCAGTATATACATACATATATATATATACATATACATATATACACACATGTGTGTGTGTGTGTGTGTGTGTGCGAATATGATTAAAATGAATGCCATGCTTTTTGTCGTTATCGAAACTTTTATTTGAAACATTCGCTGCATATATACATATATATATATATATATACATATATATATATATATATATGGTGGTGGTATACATATAGATAGATATATATACACACATAAACTAAATAATCGTTAGAATTTTGTTGCTCCACTTGTCAAATTGATAATTTTTCATGTTTAGCATTATAATTAAGATTTGGGTCATATTTGGTGGCTTGCTTGCGCTTGGTTCTCTCCAGAATTTTGAATGGATGCGCTTCCAAAAACCATGATAAAAGATATATATATTATATATATACATATATAAATATATATATATGTATATATAGACATATATACATTTATTCATACATGGATACGATAGATATATAGATATATGTATCAAACGAATAGTTCTTCCTCGTATGCATTTTGCCTGTGCTGATTTTGCGTTCGATCTAATCATATTTCATTCGAGCATTTTTCACATATATACATATTAATTTGTTTTTGGTTCATAGGATTAATTATACGCGTTTGTATATATATATATATATACATACTTATATAGGGGGGGGTGGCATATATACACATATATATATATATACTTATATATATATATATATGGGAGAAGATATTAACGTCGTGCTGCTGGACTGCCAGGATTGCAGACTTGAAGGTGAACTTTCGGTTTAGACTTGTTACGTATCTAGCGATAGAAAGGGCAGTTAACGATTTCGGTCACGTTTACGTAATCTATATATATAAATATATGTATATATATATATATGTGTGCGTGTGTGTGTGTGTGTGTGTGTGTGTGTGCAAAGCAATATAAACAAGCAAAGGTGTCAACTAGTTGTTATATGGCAAAAGCTAGGGTATATCAAGCGTCCACGCACCAAGTTTCCTAACTCTAGCTCTGCTGCTGGCCGAGATTCGTACAGACCGACGGCTAAGTGTAGGGTATACAGCTATACAGGGTATACAGACAGACGCTACCTGCCCAATATTCAGATGTGTATAGCTAATATTCGATTCGAAGAGGTGACCCTACACGCACACACATACATTCACACTGGGGAGGGGACGGGGGGGGGATATGTCGCTACGGCGGCGGGCTCTTCACGGGCAAGCGTCCAGCATATTCGCGTACTAATAGCTTACGCTCCCAGGTCGGAAAATTGCACAGTGTGACCGTATCGTTGCGATGCATACGATATTTCCATACATTATCGTCGGCATTGTCATCGGCGAATTGGGGCGGCGGCGGCGGCGGCAACAGCTCATCCAGCGGCAACCATTGCGGCAAGAGGGGCCGTGTGGCAGCCACCAATGCAATCAGTTCGGCCTTCTGGCCCGCCTCCTCGATCCTGTTGCGCTGCAGCTTGTGCCTGTAGCGCTGGCCGGCGGGACGCAGGCGCTGAAAATCGCGCGGCGAGACCAGTTTCTGCAACGGCACAAAGAAACGCTTCTGCGTATTGTAGGCTCGGCGCGGCTGGGTCAGCACCTGAACCGGGCCAATGATGAGATCCAGATCGATTTGCGAATTGGCATCCGTTGGCATTTTCTGCGCCTGCTGCTGCTGCTGCTGCTGACACTTGCCCGCCTGCTGCTTGTCGTAGACCGCATAGCTGCGACTCTTGATCAGGCTGGCGGCGTTCGGCCTGCCTTCGGTGCTGGCCTTGGGAACAGGCTGCTGCTGCTGCTGCTGCTGCTGCTTCTGCTTCTGCCGCGTGGCGAGTGCAGCAGCTGCAGCAACCTTCTGCGGCTGCACCTGGGCACAGCTGCGGCCATAGATCAAAGCCGTTTGCCTGCCAACGCCCGCGTTGCTGCGCAGCACGTTGGAGCCACGTGTAAAGGGAGCTGCTGCTGCTGCTGTAGTCGTCGTCGTCGTCGTTCGTGCCGCTGCGCTTCTGCGCTGCTGGGCGGCCGCTGCTGCTCTGGCTGCCTCGACTGCCAGACGCTGGCTCGCCGCCTGCGCTGCCTTGATAGCATTCGCCTTGGATGCACAGTGTCCGGTTAGGGGCGTGGAGCGTTGGCCGCTAGCAATGCGCTTGTTGCTGCCCTTTTGGGCAACGTTTCCCAATCCGCTGGCCATCTTGCTTCTTGCCGCGCGCTGCATTCCGTTGCTTAACGCTTTTGGTTTGTTTG